ATGACTCAAAGCAAATGGTTAGTCTCCTGTCTATGCAAAACAGAAGCTTTTCCATTACTTATTAATAACAGTAGTAGCAGGTAATAAGGCTCAAGTATTAGGGAAGTGAAGACATCAAATAAAGAAGTGTTTTGATAGCTAATGTCTAAAACTATGAAGTGCTGTTATTTTAATTACTAAACTTTTGCAACTGTTAAGATATTTTCTTTTGCTTGATTAAAAAATACTTTATTAGAACAAACATGACAATTAACTTCTGCTAGCTAGAACATAATTTCAACTGAAATAATTTTAGGTTTTATAATGTCAACAAAGAAATAGGAGATTTCTCCTGTCTTATTGTTCCATATTCATGAAAAAGTGGTAAAGCTGAATATTAATAGAACATTCTATGAGTAATACATTTTCCTTGTGGCCTTTTTGTATGCACTGCATCACTGAAAATTTACTGGTCTGTCTTTGTATGTGCATATGTGCACGTAACATCTGAAAGGACATCCCTTTTACACTACCTCTTTGTGAGACTGAGATCTTTGAGTAGCAATGTCTACTTCTGCCCTGCTTGCCTGCTAGTGCTTTGTTAGTCAAGAGATGGGAAGGGAGAATGACCACAATTTTTACCAAGTTTCTAGGTACTAGCTGCTGTAAAATGCAGCTATACCATTTGTTTGGCTTCTAAATGAATGGAGGTAGATATAGTCCCAAGTGGGACTAGATTGTCTGTTCTTTTGTTGAAAGCTAGAGCATTGCAGAGCGTACTTTGCATTAAGGAATTCTTACACTTTCTCTAGAGACAGCAAGCACTCCCTTCCTTTTCTGTTTCAGAGAAATGAAGGAGGGGGTAGCTCTGATAAAATCTTCAGATTCTAGCAAAAGATACCAGCCTTGCTGAAATCAGACTCGGCTAGGAGGCAAGAGCTGGAATGGGTCCTGCTGAGCTCAGACAGTGAAGGTCTCCAGATGGCCTTGTTGCCTCCTTACCAGTGCAACACACAACGATGATGCATTTGGCATTAAAGGAAAATTCTAGTAATGGTAGGAGCCACATGCTTTTGGAGTTCCCATTCACTTCTGTCCCTAGTGGACTGGCCACTCCAGCAAGTGTAGACTACTTTAAAGCACCCAGTAAAATTGTGACATGCATTAGATACTATAACAGTCAGCTTGAATAACTGAGATAGGTACAGTCAAATCTCTTAGAAGTTTCAGTACGTTTCCTCTCACCTGTTGTCTGGCTCCCTAGTAGGAAACTAAGCAGCAGGACAGCCCCAGAGTGGTGAGACAAAGGTGTCTTGAATAAGAATTTCATGAACGTGTCATTGTTTACTAACAAGTTCTTGGATGTGTATATGGTCACATGTGTACTCATTCACATCTGTGCTGGAGCTTTTCCTCCTTCCACAAAGAGAAAGGAACTGATTCTGACTGAGTTGCAGGTTCCTCTTCGACTCTGAATCTGAACAGCTTACTAAGTGCCAAATACAGTGAGGATAGGATGGGTTTCTCGGTTGTGATTTTTGGGCATCCTGAAAGTATACATTCATCAAGGCCTTAAGTAAGAAAGAACAAGTCTTCAGAACTCTCTAAGGAGTGACTTACTTCCCACTTACGTGTTGAGCAAAGATCATCTGACCTTCCAGTAAAGAAGCTGGTATTCTTGAGAAGAAAAATTTAGACATATTTGGGGCTGATTGCATGTCAGCAAGTGGTTTTTTCTGAAGCAAAGTTGATTTGTACTGCATTTTTCACCCACCTGGTTTGATAACAATATTTTTTCAAGAGGCCTGGAAACTAGAATCTTACGTCAGTGAGTTCTGGGTACAGAGAACAGGCAGTCTGGTTTCCTTCCTGTCTGGTCGTCTTCAGAAGCATCTTTGGCAAGAAATTCGAAGCAAAGGAATCAGTTTCCTATATTCATTTTGCTTTAAATGAAAAATGAAACAACCATAGAGTTCAAGTGAAGGGTGTTTAACTCTCGCTATTTCTTAACCCTGAAGAAGAAACTAGATTGGCATTCTCATTCGGCACCTTTGAAGTCCCTCAGTTGCTTCAAGTACTTTGAGACTCCCAGCTATTATGAATGAACCTTTCATCAGTTTGGGCGATAAGGACTAGACTTATTCTTTTTTTTTTTTTTTTATGAAGAAATCAGTTTGATAGTCACAGCATGCTGGTGGCTACAGGTGGAACTTCCTGAATTCTTTGTTCGCTATTTGTTTTTTCCTGTTGGCTTTCATGTAGTGCAGCAGCAGTCATTTTTGCTGATAAGCTTTGGTGATTTCAACACACAATCTCTGCTATTGCCAGCAGTCTTCAGCTGTAGTCCACCACATCATGGAATTAATGCCACATAATTGAATATGTGCTTTAAGCATGTCCTTGGAGAATTTTGGTGGCCTACTTCTCAGCTATTTACCATATTCTAATCAGACATTAAAAAAAAAAAGTTTTGGATAATCTGTTGTTGGCATCCTAACAACATGCCCAGAGCAGCATAAGTGAGCCTGCAAGGCAGTAGCTTTGATGATGTGTATTTGATAGCATGCTAATTGGCGTTCAGGTCTGTATTTTGATGTGTTATGCTAGCAAAGAGCCAGAGATGGTACATACAGAATTTGAGATATCTGACATGATGCCTATAAGTTGTCCAGATATTACAGCTATTAAGAATGATGACGACTATGATATGTATTGCTTTTGCCAGAAGTCTTTCATTTCAGGGGTGCTGCTTTTATCTACTAAGGCTGCTCTGGCTTTTGTTGACCCTCCTTGGGACTTTGAAGGGGCCCATTGAAGGGGTTCTGAGACACTCTCCTACTCAAATTGAAGAATTTCTCTCCAAATGTCACTGCTGCACTGTCAGTTTTCATTATTGGCCTGACATGCTTTTCACCATAGCTGGAATAAGATCTCTGTTTCTTATATACTGACACTGAGGCCAAATTATTTGGCAGTGTAATTGAAACTGTAATATGTCTAAGGTGTTCTCTTGGCTAGAATTCCTCAGTCCTAAAGTAGGCATTTAGGGTTGGTTTAGGTCTGTGTTTGTCAGCAATTTATCCTGCCTAAGCCCCTGACATTTTTTATACATGCCTGGTGTGCACACTTAGCATTCTACAGAAAGATGTCTAGAGACATGCATAAATATCTAAGGTGTTCTGATGCATGTGGATCATGTACACATACAGCAGTCTAGGTAACTAAATAATAAAGACGACAACAGATGTATTACCTATCACTTTCCAGATGCCCAAGTTCCACTTTTACTGCTTACATCATGTTCTTTCTAGTACCCAGAACGTGGGAGCTCTCTCAGACACCTGGAAAGTTGGTCACTTGAGGTAGTAATGAAGTTATGAACTAAACGCAGAAGTAAGGTGCAGGAGTGGGCGGTGGCATTTTTGTTTGATGTTCTTGTTGCTGTTCAAGAGTCTCCCAGAGTGCATCACTTCTTATGGAATGGGACATTTCTTAGTTGTTTTCTGGTTTATTTAAGTCTGTTCTTGCATCTGTAAGTCTGTTGCTGTAGCAATTTTTGTTTGAACATGCTCTCAACTGATAGGACAGAAGAAGAAGAGAGCATAGGGAGTACATTTTAGGGAGGTCAGGAATACTTATTATCTACCTATTGATCTTTTTAAAAAAGTAGTTACCACTGGTATTTCTGAAGCAAAATTAATAATCCTTCATATTTCAGTCTGGTCTAATGAGGCAGGGGAAAAAGAGGAATGCTCTGATCAGGTGTAGATTTAGGAGCTCTGAAAGATTTTTCAACCGTGGATTACACCTGGGTGGCCAAAGCAAGATGTGAGATCAAAGATGAAAGATCTCTCTGAGAGATGATGGCAGTGACTCCTGGTTCACTTCTGAAATACCGCATGGTTCTTGAACTGGGGTAGGTTCCCATTATGTATATTATAGTGTTTTACGTACCTTGGCTTGTAAATTAAATCAGTTGAGAGCCTAATTCACAATCAGATCAACATCTCTGCTTTGGAGCTGACAACATCTGTCCTTTGCCTGGTGCAGACAGCTGTGGTGTTTGGCGCTCTGATATTCACCTACCACCACATACCTGTCACAGCCCAGAGTCTCTCTATATCTCTGTTCCTTATGTTTAAACTGGGGTTAATGAAAACTACCTGCACAGAGATTACATGAGGAAATGTGTTTGTTTTCGGTATCTTGAGATTTTTACAGTGATAGGAACAAGAAATTTATGTAGATCTCTCCTGGAACAGGCAAAGGCCTTTATTCCTCAAGATCTGCTTTTTCTCTTGGTAATTGTATAAAGATGAAATGATAAAAATGAATAGAATTTGTGTGATGTAATTTTACTGATACATCCTAAATATTTTTTGAGAATGAATGCTTTTTAGGTTTTCTAGACTAGTTTTTTATAGCTTATAAATCTATAATAAAAGTCTATTCAATGTGTATTTAATGTCATTGGAGTTCTGGATGTGCCACTTTCATCTCTGTCTCTGAATTGCCTAAAGATGTTGATCAGTACCTATTCAGAACTATTTATCCTGTTTTTTCCTGAACTTTTGATTTCTGTGAATTGCTGTTAACTTATGTGCATTTTATAATCCACATTGGCCTAGCAATTAGTAATCAGTATAGTAGCCACTGGGGGGGGAGAGGGGGAGGGTTAATTAATTATGATCATTTGGACTGGTTTCTGACTCTGTATCAAATAATATTAATCAGAATTGACTTTGAACAGAACAAACACAAATTTTTAGTAGAACAGAAGCATATAATGGGTGGGTTTTAGGCTTTTTGGGGATGGGGGTCAACAAGGTAGGGCAATTAAGATAAAAACTGCATGGACAATGACTGATGAGATGATAAAGTGAGAAAAGAACATGGTGAATTCTCTCAAAATGTGAAATTGTTGCTGTTGAGCTGTTCTTTGAAATGTTTTAACCAAAAAGAACCCCCAGACCCCAACATTTCAACTAATTTTCTCACATTTATTTCATTCTCATTCATAGAAAATTTCACCTTGGGTAGGTTTACGCAAGATCAACATCTCCTACTGGGGATGGGATGACATGTCTCCTTTTACAAACACAACTCTGCAGTGGCTTCCTGGAGAGCCAAATGACTCTGGCTTCTGTGCATACCTAGAAAGAGCAGAGGTGGCAGGTCTGAAAGCGAATCCATGCACTGCAATGGCAGATGGTCTTGTGTGTGAAAAACCTGTTGGTAAGTGATCTCTTACACTCTGTTACTGTCATGACTAGCAAGCTGTTTGGGTTTTCATTTCACTAAGAGGGATTTTTGGATGATTTGGATTAAATAATTACAAAAAAATACTACTTTTGTTTTTTGAGAAATAGTGAGCTTTAATCTAGAAAACAAGCAATATTCCTAAAGCAGCAAATATTTATTTGTGACTTAATTTACATGACTTAGTTTACATTACACAAATCTTACAAGTTGCCTCTAAATCAGTAGTAGTCAGTGACAACAGTCATTGTAGCATGAAAGTGTCTATGGAGGTGTTCAACAAGGCTGATGTTTTCTTTCTGAGTCTTGCTGAACATCAGTGAACATTTTAATGGTCTAAAAGACTGTCAAAACCAAAATTCTTGTTTCCATCTTTTAGATTTGTTTGTGTCAAGATAGCTGTGGCAAATAGTCACTTGACAGTTCAAATTAGCATTTTCATGCTCCAACTTGTCCTACGTTTCTCTTCATAGCTGTGAGGTTGAGCACGTGTAAGTTCCTTAAGTTTCCCCTTCAGACTTTTGTGCATTGTCTGTGCAAAACTGGAAAATAGCCGCATTGTTGGTGTGTTGGGAACACTGCCTATCAGTCTGATGGTTTTGCTGTGAAATTGTCAGAGTTGTTAACTTGCACAACCAAAGTGTGATCTTACCAATCCTTTATTTTCTTATAAGCAATTCCAAATAGTAATGCAATTGCAAAGTATGTATTATTGCTACTGCCATCTATATTTCCTAAAGATTCCATATTTCACAGTGTCCTAATAGTTAATTATTTACCAGATGTTTCTCAGAATAGTAAAAGATATAGTCACAATGGAAGAGACATCTCAAAATGTAAAGGATACACTAGGTGGAACACAAATGACATTAAGATGTAGTATTTTACAATTAGATCAACATTATATGCATCTGTTACTGGTGACTTGTTTTAGGAGTTTTTTGATCGTGAGGTGCTTCAAAGACTATAGAAATCAAAGTACTTCAGCCTTCTGAGAATACTTTTATAGTTCAGCTGATTTTTGTTAGTTTTTTTGTTGTATTGCAAACCACAGCTTGAATGTGTACATACTAGGTCAAATCCAGGAACAGCATTGGTTAAGTGATTTGGCATACTATATTAGGAGATGAAGAATGGCTTGAGAACTTGACTTCTATTGAATATGAGTCAATAATATACAAAAACATGGCAATATATAGGAAGGCTTAATCCCGATATTTCACAAGGCGCTTCTGTATGGAAAATATAGTGCTATCTGTACTTTTGTGTTCCTACCTAAGAATTACTATACTCTTGTTCTTGTACACTTCAGTTTTATTTGAAAACAAAGCAAAAATCAGGAATTAGGGTATACAAGTTCTTTTTGTGTGTTACAACTTTTTGAGATGTCATACACTACTAACCTAGTCAAAATGTGGTCTCCAGTAGAGAAAAACAAACAGAAACCAAAACCCAACAAACCCCCCCCCCCCAAACCAATCAAATCTGTTTTGCCTTGAACAATGTTTTTGTTACTTTCCCTTTGGATTCTAGTGACTTTCATATGTACACTGTAAGGCAAAATTTTAGGGTATAAGTTGTAAGTAGAATAATTGTTGCTTGTACACTGTTAAACTAATGAAAACAATAGACCCAGAACTCTACTGTACTTGCTATAGAAGTTTGAGACTTATTTTATGTCATGTATGTGTAACTAACTAAGCTGACATTACCAGGCAATGAATATTAAATTTACTATTTCAGTGTGTAGATAAAATTGCTGTGAAAATTTTTAAATGGACTCTTTCAGAGCTCTAGGATGACTCATGCTGAGTATTACTTAATATTTTTTTATAAAATATTATTGTGTATATATAGTGCACTGTAAGTTTGGACTAAATTATTTATAGCTAATTAAGGAAGCAACCATTTTCACTTTAACAAGGATATTTCTAATGGAACTTATGATTAAAGAAAAAGGAGATTGCACTTGTATTCAAAATTATAAATGTTTGTGGTTCTTTTCCAGTTAGTCCCAACCAGAATGCCAGACCCTGCAAAAAGCCGTGCTCCCTGCGAACAACATGTTCTAACTGCACGAGTAATGGTATGGAATGTATGTGGTGTAGCAGTACAAAACGATGCGTTGACTCAAACGCCTATATAATCTCCTTCCCATATGGACAGTGTCTAGAATGGCAAACTGCCACATGCTCCCGTGAGTATCTTAATGAACGTTCATCCTATTAAATATACCATTGTATTTTTTTTCCACTCAAAAGGGCATCTAATATGAATATGATTCAGCACATTCACTAAAGATAATTTTAAATGAGTCACCTTATATAGCTACTAATGTGAGCAGTCAGTACTTTGTGTTTTCTAGATACAGATAAAATATTGGTAATTCTTTCATGATGAAACATATTTAGTCTTTTAAAACAGGTAGTAGAAAGTGTTTATTATTTTCAGATAAAGAAAAAATACCATGGTTATTTGTGTGACCAGCATTAGTGTGTCAAATAATGGCCATGAGTTGGAACAAAATGCTGTTAAAATTAGAAAAATAATATGCAGACTTCAGACTTATACCATGTCTAGTTATTCAAAAAAGGAGATGAGCTGAACTCAGAGTTTTTAAGATTCTGATTTATTTTGTCGATTCAAAATAGCACATTTTCCTAGCCTGCAAAGTTAAAAACAAGGCAGGTGAGTTCTGTGTCGAGCAGCAAAGGTAGTCCCCAGATGTCCCCTTTGGAAGTGCACTTCATCAGAAATCGATACAGTGCCTCTCTAGGAAAATAAGAAACCCACTGAATGTGCCTTTCAGTATACAATTCAGCTAAAGCTGCTTCTCCTGAAGTCAATAGTGACTGGACCTTGTTAAGTTCAACACTATGCAGTTCCAGTGTATATCAGTGCTATCATTCATGTAGATGCTGGAGCAAGCTGCCTGATGCCTTAGATCCTTGTCTCAGTAGTGGTTTTTTTAGAAAAGTTCTGCAGTTTCCATCCTACAGAACACTGGTTCTTAGTATTTTTACTGTCCTTCAAGATTTGATTAAAATATTTCCTACCTGTAAAGGATTCCAATCCAAACTTAATATATTAAGACTTCTGAAGTGTATCGTTGAACTCTCATTCTTGCTCTTCTCTGTGAGAGTGTTTTTCTAGTTACTTGTGACTTCCTTTCCCTCTCCAAAGGGTCTTTTGATGTCAGCATCTCTGTAACATTTTATTTCTGGATATGTTGTGGCAGGTTGGGTGATGTTGTCCAACAAAGAGCAGCTCGCTTTAGGGTCATAATTAGATCATGATTCCATTTAATAGATTATGGATGTGAATACAAAAGCTAGTTACTTGCTTTCACCTAAGCCTCAGGAAAATATTAAGTAAAATGAGGTCCTGCCATATCTGTAATAGGAACCATTGCTGTATTCTAATCTTAGGAGAGAAGAATGGCTGTATATACCAGGTCCCTGCATATATCTGGGTTAAAGGAAAATAAGGCATAGGAAGAAGCTTTCTTTCAGGTACAACTGGCCAAGGATAGTGGAGCCTGCAGAGCCTGTATTCCTAACTTAATAGAGATTCCTCCTTCATCCTTAGTAATCATAAAATACAATCATCATTACGATGTTGACCTGTTCTGGTAAATATTTATGCTTAGTAAATTTTGGATATTAGTCCAGATTCTAGTGCTCAGGTTCAGTATGGACTAGAAGTAGGGTTTATGTGTTCCTTGGGTCCTTATGTCCTCTAAACCCAGCCATCAGCCCGCGTTTGGTCTAAGAACAAAGAAATAATAGGAACGCTTAATCTCTTGTCCCATATATTTGGAATAATAATACTGTAATTATGTAAACATTCCTCTCATAATAGTTCACTAAATTTTTTCACTCCTATAAGGAATTGATTTCGCAACTTATAAAATATTGATAGTGAGTTGTGGCAGAAGATAAGTAGATTGAAAATTTGGAGATAAAATAGACAGAATGCTACATGAGTGATGCTTAGCTTTTAAAAATAACATATATTATTTCAGCCTGAACTTTTAATTCTGTGTTTGTGTGGTAGTTGCACATCATGCAGATTCAATTTGTTTGGGGAACACAAAAGTTGTTTTTAATTTAATTGTCACTTTTGTCAGGTCTGTAAAAGTTTTATATTAAATAAGCCAAATGGGATTTCCTATATAGCAGTTCATTATTATGTAAAGGCAGTTTTGTATGAAAATGTATTTTCTGTTCAACAAATTAAAGAAAAACAATATTCTGTGTCTGTAAGCAGGTTTTTTTTTGGAGTTTAAAGCATTAGTTAGTTTGCACTCTAAACAAGAAAATGAATGTCCAAGTGAAACATGGTTCAGACACTGTTTCAGTCTAAATGACTTAAATTTTATTAGGTAGATACATCATTATTGCTGCTGAGGTAATGAAGTATTAAGTGGTTTCCCTTGTCAAGGGGTAGTGTTTCTACTTGAAGAATAGAATGCAACTATACCTTTAAAAAAAATCCTCTTTTATTTTATTTTTATTCTGAATGACTGATTTCTGAGTTTCTGGATGTTTTGCTCTGAATGAAAAAAAAAAAAACCAACAACTTCACATAAGCATTGTATGATTTATAAAAAAATATATAACAACTGAGAACTTCACATTTACTTTTACAACTTTGAATTAAAATGAAGAACACTGTTCTATTGGTGACATTTTGTCATTTTAATACCTGCTTGCCAAAAAGTTGCATTCCACACTTCCCCACATCTTCCATCCATTATGACTTTTGATTGAATAGCTGACAGTTGAACAATCTTGGACCATCTCTAGAGTTTAAAAGAAAAAAAAATTCTGCTTGAATATCCCCTTCTTCCATAAACAATAACTTCTCAGTTAGATCTCTTCAGTTTTGCAGCCGAATGCCACTACAGAGAATATCTGAGGATTTTTACTTTTGGTTCTGTTTTATCTTCCATGAAGATAGTGCAGCTGATACTTCAGAGCTGTTTTCTCCTAGCTTTTTAAATAGCAGCATGAGAATTTTTTGCATCATTTACAGTGCATCTCTGAAAGCGCAAGCCAGCCAGTACAGAATGGCGGTCTTTATTTTTCTGCTGATCTTCTAGTGTATTCAGAAAACAAAATTTGTATTATTCAGCTTCAGATCTGATGAGGTTTGGTTTAAAGCTGATTTGTGTCACATGGTTGACATTGATTTCCAAGAACAGTTGAGCTCCTCCCCTCCCCCCTTTTTCCATATTTGGGAAACTTGAAACATTTCCTCCTATTTGGATTCTTCCAAGTCTAATGATACAAGAGCTCATGCTCCAGCTTTCTGCACTGTTAAAAGTCCTTTTGCAATCATTCAGATTCTTAACTGCTTGTTTTCTTGATAACTGTATGTATCTTTAGACTACTGGTGTATTTTTTTCTCTGACAACTTTCATTACTTTTAAACAATGTTAATAGTTGATGAGGTCAGAGTAGCTAGCTCTACTCTGCTGTGAGTTTATTTAATTACAAATGAAATTGTTCTGCTTAGTATAGCCTTTATAGCATGGATTCAAGCATTGTCTTTATGGACTAGAGTCGTCCAGGTAGCTGTGAACATAGTTGGATATAGTGTCCTGGCTGCAGCTGAGCCAAACTGAGAGGTTGCACTCATGTAGAAGCCACTTGAGTGTCCCCCAACACCCCCTGACCTTTAAAATACTTTCTTTTTAAAGTGTTGTGGTTTAACCCCAGCTGGCAACTAAGCCCCACACAGCTGCTTGCTCACTCCCCAGTGGTGGGATAGGGGAGAGAATTGGAAGAGTAAAAGTGAGAAAACTCCTGGGTTGAGATAAAGACAGCTTAACAGGTAAAGCAAAAGCTGCTCACGCAAGCGAAGCAAAACAAGGAATTCATTCACTACTTCCCATGGGCAGGCAGGTGTTCAGCCATCTCCAGCAAAGCAGGGCTCCATCACAGGTAACGGTTACTTGGGAAGACAAACGCCATCACTCCGAGTGTCCTCCCCTTCCTTCTTCTTCCCCCAGCTTTACGTGCTGAGCATGACGCTGAGCATGACGCCATGGTGTGGGATATGCCTTGGGTCAGTGGGGGTCAGCTGTCCCAGCGCTGTCCCCTCCCAGCTTCTTGTGCACCCCCAGCCTGCTCGCTGGTGGGGGGTAAAGCAGAAGAGGCCTTGACTCTGCGTAAGCACTGCTCAGCAATAATGAAAACATCCCTGTGTTGTCAACGCCGTTTCCAGCACAAATCCAAGACATAGCCCCATACTAGCTACTCTAAAGAAAATGAACCCTATCCCAGCCAAAACCAGTACAAAAAGAAACAGAGACTATTTCTGACTTTCTGGTAGGATCTTCCTGAAGTTCATGTATGCTTTTAAAATTTATTTTTAACGTGTTTACAAAGTTAATGTGAGAAGAGACAGGAACCCATAGTGATCAATGTTCAAATGATTCTGATGTTAATTTGATTCAGTGTTACAGCATTGATTTAAAAAATTTAAGATGTAGCAGAAAAAAATCAAGTAAACTTGTGAACTTTAATGGTGTTTCTGAAGATACTAAACTGTTAATTTGTTATTAATAAGAAATGGCAATAACTTCAGAATATGAATTTTATTTGCTTCTAAACAGATTTCTTAAAATATGAGGAAGGCCATTTCCGTGAGAAATTAAATTATTTAAAGTGGAGTATAAAAGAACTAGATGGAGATTTGATTTTTAGGATGCAAATTAAAAAATGAAATCTGATTTACTCTAACAGACAAGACTTAAGATATAGTTCAATTAAATGCAATTCAATTATGACTTGTAGCTTAACCCTTTTTTTGGAAAGATGTGTAGTATGCTAGCTTGTTTCAAAAGTTCTATTTAAGAAGACTGAGTCATGTTTGTAGATAAATACTCAGGTGCAATCCTGGGATACTTTGTACTCAAATAAATTTTCGGTTTGAATTTGAATTATCACAATATTTGGATCATTATTATCACTCTTATTTGGTTTATTGACCTTGTCTTGAATTCTAGAGTTTTTGTTGGAAGGAGTGTTTACATCAGTAAAATTAGTAATATGCACATCCCATAATGTATGTTAATAATAAGCACAGAATATATATTTTATCATGGGATTTAATGAAGATGTGTAATATTATTGTTCTGCCTCATTGTCCTTGTTTATTTGAAATCTTTGTTGTTGCATTGTGGTGTAACAAACACCTGCTGTGTATTTTGTGATCCCTGAAGAAGTACAACTTTTAAAGAAAGCGGAGGTATTCATCCTAATGTTACTGAAATTTTCCAATTTGCACAAGGAAATAGAAATGCAGAATTGTTTCTTTATGAACCATTATAAAATCCTAGCATCTTATTTAATAAAAAAACCCAAAACCAACCAAAAAGGCAAACTAAACCCCAAAACTAAAAAGCTCCTTGCATTAATGTTGTATTCTGTGTAATAAAGCTCAAAACTGCTCTGGACTGAGGACCTGCGGACAGTGTTTGGAACAGCCTGGGTGTGGATGGTGTAATGATCCCAGTAACACTGGAAAAGGGCAATGTTTGGAAGGATCATCAAGAGGCCCAATGAAGCCTGTTGGCATGCACTCTAATGAAATGGTGCTTGATGCTAGTCTGTGTCCAAAGGAGAAAAATTACGAGTGGTCTTTTATCCAGTGTCCAGGTAAGGTCTACTTCCATTCTTTCTTACATATGAAATAAGAGATGTTTCTCTGTTTAAGCATGCCAAATTAAAATAATTATGTTGAGTAATACAAATAACATTTGCGTGAGAGATTTGTTTTTCTAAAATATTTCCTAAATATATATTGTTAGTCTCTGTCTACTGAACACAAATGTGCTCACTGTCATGCAGGTTTACATGTGAAATATAATGCAAATAGTTGAACCAAAATTGCCATTTATTTGTAAATAAGTTTTCACCCATCCTATCCTTCTACTTTTTCAAATCCAACTGTATGGATTTGCTTCAGCTTTTGCTTTCTTCTGACTTCTGTATCCATCAAAGAAGTGTGTGGTTGGGGAGAAATTATCTGTAGGCAACTGCTGATGGCTAGGAGCAGGGACTTCCTGCGTCCCTGCTGTTCATGCAAAAGTCGGGCTGCCTGTGAGAATGGGGAGCTGCCAAATATCTGAGCTGTGCCTCCAGTCTGTTTTTTAGACATTTCAAGTAAACAGAATGTATGCTTTTGTAATCTTAAAGAGAATCTCTGAAGTCTAAATTTAAGCCGTACCAATCTGATTATAGCATTTTAATTTTTAAGTTCATTGCAAAAGTAAGCAAGACATCGGGTGCTTTAAGACAGTGGAAGCTGAGCTGGTACAGCCTCCTGTGTGGAAATACTCGGATCCGGAAAGCAGTGTCCTTGCAGCGGTGTAGTAGTGCAGGGAAATGAAAAGCGCACTGGGGAGTTTGACAGACCTCCAGTGGTAATTTACAGTAAATCATGCATTTTAAGAGACAGCTTGAAAACTTTTTTTAGAATAAATGGTGCAATTGTGCTGAAGTTATTTTTCCAGCAAGTGTTCCTATTGCTGATAAATTTGGAAGCTGGAGCTTCTCTAGGATCAGAACTTTTATGGGTACATGCAGCTATGTTTGCTCTCCTGGGTACTTTTTTCATCAGCATATTCTGTGTGTGTGTGTGTATGTATGCATATATGTCTGTGTTTATATATATATTTATATATGTAAGTGCATGTATCGCTATATTACTTAAAAAGCAGAATCTCTGAAGAAAGTTTTATTTGGTAAATTTTTTTAAGTACATAGGCAGAGAGTAGGTTTTTTTTTAAGTTTTAGAATAATGATGTGAAATGTTAAACCAAGTAAACTCTGTCAAATGTTCTAAGTTTAAACCAAAAAAACTCCAAACGATCTAATACCATTTCCTGAACAAGAAGCCTCTATTTCTCAAACAATAGGATGACATTACTTTTATGGAAACTTCAGTACTTAGTCTGTATGTTAAAATACAGGTATGTTAAGTGCATTGTTAGACTTCCACTGCAATACATAGTATCTACCACTGGTGAAACTGCGATGGATATATATATTGCTTGTCTAAAATGTTTGAGTTACAAGATTTCATCACCTTATTTGTTTAATATTTATCCTTCATGGATAAAATTCTGTATTCATTGTATGTTCTGACCAAGAATTCACTGAAGTTCCACTTGAGTTTAAAAACCCACTAGTTTTATGAGTTTAAGCAGCAAATCCTACAGAAGTCATAGAATTAAAATTTCAGTTGATGTGAAATTTCATTTTGATTGCTATAGGCTGTAGGTTTTGTTCCTAACCTTTTGTTTTCATTTTCTTAAAACGTTACCTGTAACGGATTATACTAACACAGTTTATTATTCTTGCACAGGAATCTCTTGATGTACTTGAAATAAGATAGAATTGGTAATAAATGTATATAAACTTACTGAACAGTTTGTTGTTTGGATGAAAATAAAAATAAATAGGTTATAGCATGTACTTTGAAGATTATTCTGCCCTGTTGATGAATAGTTGGCTAAACCATTCATGTATGCACTTACATTTCCTTGTAGTTCCTATCCATGCTCTTTATAGTGCCTCTGGGCAATTGTTTTGTTGATAAGTATTTTAAACTGATTCTCATTTTCTGTTTCTTCAAGTTTTTAAAACTGGTGTTCAACAGGTAGCATAAAAACTTGTTTCTTTTTGTTTACTGGTCATTTTGAAATCAATATTCCTCAAAGCAGCTGTCATAATATTTCTTTTGATATGAATACATTTTTATTATCAGATTTGTATTTTAACTGAACTATTATTATAAATAAAGTTGCAAATATCATATATTAAGAAAAAAAAAGAAGAAAAATAAATAGCGTTGGGATTTTATCTCATGAGAAGAGCAGTTTAGGTAGAATGCAAGCCCAAGTTAGTCTTTAAAGATTAAATTAGTTCTCTGAAAAACAGTGTGAATTTTTTTTAACTAGTTTGTTTATACTAGAACTAGTTTGTTAACTGGGATCTTTCCACTAGATGCAGATTGTAATGCAGACATGCCTTTTATATATTTTTCCTAGTATTAAGTATTTCTTATATCTACAATTGTCAACATTTGTCAGCACCACCAACCATTTCAACACAGAGGTCAAAAGCAAATTAGACTTATTAGTTGCTTATCTCCAGGGCAGCCCCACAGAAGACTCAGCTAAAGCACATTTGTGTATGTGAGGAAAATTACTCTGTTGCTGCCAGTGATGTACATTAAAATCATTTAAAGAGAAAATGACTTTTAAAAATATAACAACCAGTTCTTATTTAAATGATCATTCCAGCATCTCATTGGGTTTTTTTAAATTATTTAATACTGATGTCTCCAGTTTGATTGCACTCATCTGTATTACAGAAAGTTGTTGAATTGTGCAGTGCTTCTGTCTTTTCACTTTTCTCAATGAGATACATATTTTTAGGAAAATCAGCAAATATATAATATTTTTAAATGGTGTGCCATGTCAATTGTAGATTGTATTGGTTCTTTTTATATTTTTTTAATTTGATTTAAAATCTTTTCCATTTTCTTTGCTTTAACAAAATGTAAGAATTAAGAGCTGTTATATATGACCAGATAATATTATGACTTGCAGCAAACTAAAATTCACAATAAAAAAATTGATGAATTAAGGTTGCTTCTATTTATCCTTTAAATAACACCAAAATTAAGTAATACAAAACTAAGCATTAGGAAGAATAGAAAATTTATGAATCAATGACCTGCTAGTTAGAGAATATCAGAATGAAACATTTTGCCTGCATTATGATACAGGCTTAATTAGGCAATCTTACTTTACTTTAATAGAGCACCTATTGAATGTGCTATCTGGTTTTACTTTGGGTTTATTGGTCCACTTTTTTTTTTTTTTAAACATTTGCTTTAAGTCATTTAATGTGTAAGACGTACAAACAAAACCCAAAATGGAGCAGCAATTCATGGTATTTCCGTGTAGCTTTTTCTGAGAGGCAACAGTGCTGAATGGCAAACTGCCTGGAGGAAGACACCACAAAGTTGCCTAAAAATCAAGTATTCTTAGGAAGAAGAAAACTGGTAATTTCTAAGGAGATTTATTGAAGATAGTGAGAAAACTTCTTGTCTAGTAGTACAGAACTGTTTGTGACTTGTTTACAAGATTCTGTAGGCACAGCTACAGAAAAAGGAAAAGATTGTAACCTTGGGAGGTTTAACATTTGTTTATGAGCCAAGCCTGGCAATGACTAAATATATTAAGTTACTGAATTCTAAAACATCTCTGAAAACTTTTAAATCATGCAGTGAGAATCTTTTTTTTTTCTTCTTTTTTTTTTCCTAGCCAAGACACCAGTCACTGTGACATTTAGATTAAGAATCCAAATAGAAAAAGAAAAAAAAAAAACAACCAGAATGATGTTACTGAGATAGCTGTCCTCTGCCGAGTCTTACTCACCCTTTGCCAGTAAGGGATCGACAGGTTTGACGTAGTCTGACATTTGACAAGCTGCTGTAATTGACAGATGCTAATCTGCTGAGCACTGTGAGCTCGGAGGTCCCACTCTATAGAGAGGTCATCCTTCAAATCCTCTTGGTCGTTCAGCTGAGTCCTGGCAGCAGGCTCAATGATTCTGGCAGAATTCACGTCGTGATTTTGCTGCAATAGTGATCAGTACTTCCTCAGTTTCTCCAAAACATGGAGCACTGGAGAGGAGGTGTGGTACAAGATCAGTGGTTTGTAGTGTTTTGTAGTGCTGTTGTTTGACAAAAAGGAATTTTATGCTTTTAGGGTCAGACGTAACAAATTTATGTCAATAGGAGTCCAGTTTTTTCACTTTCACCAAAGTCAACCGTAGTGAGGAGGGACTGGAGATGTTTGTGTACCTGATGTCCTTAAAATCCCTTAGTGTGCCAAAGCTAATGGGGGGATCAGAACTGTTAAAAATAAGATGCTCTTTTGTTAATTTTTTTGGTAAGTTCTCTCTCCACAGTAGATACAAGTTTGAGTGCGAGTTGTTCATGTTCTCCATCACAGTAGCCTTCCAAATGCTTCACAGCAGATTGTGTGTAGGTATTGAGGTTTTCATTTGGTCTCAGTTAGTAGCTTACTGCCTCTTGACAGGTTTCTTAAGTGACTGGGCAGCATTTTAAAGCCATGAGGGCTGGATTCAGTCACTCACAATGGCAAAAAAGGCTTTCCCACACACCTTACTCACATGTCACTACACAGTCAACTTCTGTGGTCCTTTGTGTGAATTCATATCTTGTCACAATCCTATTTTAAAGAGCTGCTGTGTCAAAGTACAAATATATGTGCTGGCCATTAGTCAGGATTAAACTCCTCAGAATTACATTCTACTGCAATTTTGTAATCATATAGGAATGATTTTGTTCCCAAGAGCAATTTAGTAATGGCTTTTTAAATGTTATATTCTAGCTTGCCAGTGTAATGGCCACAGCACCTGCATCAATAGTAATGTCTGCGATCAATGTAGAAACTTAACAACAGGAAAACAATGTGAAACGTGCATGCCAGGATATTATGGGGATCCCACAAATGGAGGACAGTGCACAGGTAAGTCGTTCTGCTGGGAGGAAAAAACAATTGAAATATTTTATGTAATGTGAATTTAACTTTTTTTAATATAATGTGAAATTAACTATTCTTTAAAGGTTAAATGTTTATTTGATAATACAGATGAGTTGATCAGCTAAGTTAATGATTCAAAATCAGATTAATATTTTTAAGAGAAACTTTGCATTCAGAATCATCATTTTGCAGTTGTCATTTGGTCTGGGTACTCTAAGAACAAGCGGGTAATTTAAAGATGCTCTCCCAGTTAGGGAAAGGAGCAGAAAGGAACTGTTTTGTGGGAGCAACACCTTAAATCCTGATATTTCAGAGAGGCATCATTTCATTCCAAGTAAACAATCCCCTTTAAAGCAGCGAGAAGGTACCTATAAATGAAGTTCAATATCTACCATAATGTCTGATAGCACTGACTTGTATAAATGTGTGATGCTAGTGGAAAAATTATGCATTTAGCAGACCAACAAGTCTTACTCATGTATAGTTCAAACAGAAAAGCCTGGTACACTGAGGATTGTAATCTATTCAATCTGTTCAGTTGTGTAATTGCTGCATTGGAGGATTCTCGTTGAAGTGAAAGAGAGAATGGAGTCTAACACTCCAGATGGTTTTTGTATATTGCTGTAGGGCTGCTTTTACTTGCATGGGTGGTTTTAAAGTTGACGGTAACTCCTTCCCTTACAACTAAATGGGGGGAAGGGGGATATATTCAATATGAAAAGTCATTAAGGTAGTTGAGATTGAATCTAAGAGGGTGCTAGAAAGTTTTGTCCCATGACTTTTTCTTCTCTATTATTGGTGTTTCTTTAACTGGACCTTTGCTTCTCAAGGAATATTTATTCATTTAAAGGGTTCACTTGTTCCTCAGCACTTTAACATGCAGTAGTCAATGCATAAAGCTGCACATCTGGTAAACTCAAGCACAATATGTATAAAGTGTGTTCAAGGGGATGGAAAGATTAATGTCTACCCCTATTGACAATTGCACATTTTGCTGCTGCTTTATGACGCTTTAAATAATTCTTAGTAGTTCTCTTCTTTCCTGAAGTTGACAAAATGTTCTTTTGCTGTCTATAGCACCTTTATGGCAAAATGATGTATTAATATAGCTTTTATTCTTCAGGGATACATTAGCTATCAACCAAATAAGCATTCCATCACCGTTAGTGAATTATGTGTAGTGCAATAATGGCTAAAATCAATTTATAAGACCAGTAAAATTATAAATTTTACAACTTGTTTTTTCAACCCTAGTCTGTAAGAGTACATATTTTTATTGGTAGACATGATTTTAACAGGAGCTATTTAGAGGAAAGAATGCTTTAAAGAATAAAGATGATAATTATTTTGAGGCTTTATCTGCATTGGTATATTATATTTTGTAGTATAGCACCCATAAATCTGTTTAAGTCTGTAAGACGTTTTGATGAATGTAGTCATTATGAACTGTTAGATTTTCTTCAGTATCATGATTTTTGTTCCTGTGATAGAGGTGCCCAAATTGTGGGCCGGTGATTTCTGGAGAAAAAAGTACCAGTCATCCATAGATAAATCAAATTTTTCTGGGATTTAAGAGGATTTTGGAACCTCAGCAGAGGAAGGACATGGACCTGCTGGAGCGGGTCCAGAGGAGGCCACAAAAATGATCCGAGGGCTGGAGCCCCTCTCCTACGAGGGCAGGCTGAGAGTTGGGGTTGTTCAGCCTGGAGAAGAGGAGGCTGCGGGGGGACCTGATTGCGGCCTTTCAGTGCTTAAAGGGGGCCTATAGGAAAGATGGGGGCAATCTTTTTAGCAAGGCCTGTTGTGACAGGACAGGGAGTAATGGATTTAAACTAAAGAAGAATAGATTTAGACTAGACATAAGGAAGAAATCTTTTACAATGAAGGTGGTGAAGCACTGGCACAGGTTGCCCAGAGAGGCGGTGGAGGCCCCATCCCTGGAAACATCCCAGGCCAGGTTGGACGGGGCTCTGAGCACCCTGGGCTGGTTAAAGCTGTCCCTGCTCCCTGCAGGGGTTGGGCTGGGTGGGCTCTAAAGGGCCCTTCCAACCCAAAGTATTCTGTGATTCTGTAGTGGAGATCAGGCAGTGTGCAAATATAAAGTACGAAAGAGATGATTCTTTTTTTTTATTCCCCCCCCCGCTTCGTTCTGGTAATGCTTTTGATAACACAGAAAAAATTTGAAAATAGCCACAAATTAAAACTTTAATTAAAGTAAAAGCATAAGGAAAAAAATGTGAGCGGAAGAAAGGGCAACCCGGTCAGAAGCGGAACGTAAGTGTGACTGAAATAATTGGAAAATGAGACAGGAAATGGTATGGAATTGACAATCAAAGAAAAAAAAAAATCATGAAGAACTGAAAAAAACCAGTCATCCTTATAGTCCTTTCTTTTGTCACTTTTCTCTGCTGCTGTCAGCTGGTTTTCTGGCTGGACCCTACCAACGTTTCTTTTCTACTAAGACTTACCCTTCTGTACGAGGTTTGAGACTGCCTGAGTGTGTGGTGCATTTTCCCTCAGAGCTCCCGAGTTATTTGTTTGAGGATCCAGATTGAACACTTCTTAAAGATATGACAAGCTAATAACTATAACTCTTAAAGTACATCTGTAATACTCTAATGTTCTTCATAGAACAAGTTGCTATAGTTACAAGGGTGTAACTTGTTTATGAATTGGAGAGCAGTTGAGGCTGGGAAAAGAGGTTGTACTCAATCTCTACAATTGAGAGGCAGTGGTGTACACTGGGAGAAACACTAGGAGAAAACTAAGAATTGTTCCAACTATTCATTTAAATTCTGTCACTTCAAGTCTCTTTTCCATATAGAGAATGAGAGTTTGAGTTTATATTCTTGGTGTATATGTGATCTGTATATTCAGTAGTCCTAACATGTGGCTTACAGTAAAGATGTATGTACTCCTTCAATTCTTTATGACATTTCATTGTACAAATATCTAGTTTGAATTATTTTTATATTTGATTCCTTGCTGCATTCCATGCAAAAAATCAGTAAATTGCAAACCCCTTTTATTTTACGTTAATGAAAGTTCTGTGACTGTAATTTATTACAGTTATGTGTTCTTACACTAATTAAAAATGATTTCAGGTAGTTCTTATGTCTTTGATGTGAAACAGGTAGCCAAAATATAAAATGAAATTAATTTGTTACCTTATGTTATGATATATTTTCAGTTACACAAAAATATTTCAATTCTTTGTTGGAAATAAACGATACACAGTGCACAAATTAGTAAGTCCAGACCTTGTTTGTGTGCTTAAGATTTGTAAGCTAAAGCCCCTGTATGGCAAAGAAAAGTGTAAAGTGATAGTATTGTCAAAATTACCGCGTAAAGTTACAGCATCCTTTTTAAGAGTTGGCTCGATGTGCAAGAAAGTAAGAGGGAAGCCAGAGGAGAATTCTGAACATGAGGGAGTAGAGCACTCTAGCAAGGGACAGGTTTTGGTTTCCAGACCAAGCTCCAGTTCTGTTTACCCCTTTTATCTGACTGGTCTTGAGTGCAAATGCATGAGCAGCCCTTGGAGTGCTCGATGCAGTGCTGCCAGTCTGTGCCAGAAATATTTAAGGAATCAAACCCTCTAGTGATTTGCCAGAGTAAGGCACACCCACACTGTATCGTGGTGAAGCTTAGGTGACAGAGATGTACAGCTCGGCGAGCTTTGCTTCTGAGCAGGTAAAGCTATACAGATGTAGGAAACCTAGGAAGCCTTGCAGTCTGAAATGCTGAAAAATTGGAGGATATTCCAAATCACTTTGATTAATTTTTTAAATTCTCCTCAAGTCCCACTTAAGGTACAAATTTGAAGGCATGGCTATCAAAATTCAGTAATAGGAATTTCATTGCTAAATACTGATGGATTTTGGAAATAAAGCAGCTCTAACTGTAGACGGGAACAGATATTGGCTTGCTGTCTTGGTGGTTTCTCTTAGTGTTATATTTTCTTCAAGGTCTTGTTCTGTCATGTACTGCATGTCTGGGAAACATGCAACTATTTTGTAGAAATTCTAGGAAAAAAATAGAGTAAGATGTGTACCACAGATTGCAGCATAAAGTACCAGGAGGAAACATTATGGGAGATTGCTTGGAACAATTTTGTGTCATCTTGGCAACATTTTTAGCATTATTTTCAAACTTATTAATCATCTACTTAGTTGTCAAAATTAAAAAAATCTAGCTGCTTATCATCTTGTCATTTTCTTTATATTTTTAAAAATTATTCTTAAAATGTATGAGATGCCAGGAGAGAATTCTTTACAGTAACTTATGACACACACTGTGAGTGTATAATACATTTAATAATAAGATAACGTAAGCATGTTGCTGTATTGCCATTTTGTTCATAAAGTGATAACATCCCAAACAGCATTCAGTTTTCCCATAATTGTACTACCATTGCTGCTGCTTTTGCAGTAGGAGTAAAACTGAGTACCAGAACAGCAGGAACATTGTGTTTTAACTTGCACCTCTCTCTGAACAGCCTTAAAAGGCATGGTGTTTAAGACACTGATGACCATTCTGTAAAAGCCTCCTACCAGGTAGGCTATATGCATGAAGTTTTTTAAGCAAGTCTGTAGCACTTCTGTTGCCTTTATAGGTCTGTCCCCTTCTCTGCTATCATACAGTTGGATATTTTCAAATACTAAAGGCAACAGCTTCCCCCCAGATTTGATTTGTAATCATTCTGTTTGAAAATGTGAAGTTAATTGTTTACCGGAAACATTTAATTTTTTTACCAGATCTTCAAACTGCAAAAGTGAACATGTTTCTAGTGAGTGTACACCGTGTGTGCATCAAGTCAGTAGCATCTGCTGCAGCAAGGTCGGAGGTCTGGGTGCCTTTTTTGTTCCTCCAGTATGTAGAGCATGAAGGACAGAATAAATCTGGGCTTTTCTGCCAGTTTTCTAAAGCATCTGTCTCTGTAAGAGCATGTGTTGTGCAGTGTCTGCTCCTTTTGCACATTTTGTAAC